GGCAGCCGGCGCTCCCGCGGTCCGCTATTCACGGCCCCGAGCCGGTTTCGCTCGCGTAGTGGCGACTGGGGTGTTCTTCCACACGTTTTTGCGGGTCGCCCCTCTCCCCCATGGGTCGACGTTTAAACGGGCGATGTAAGTCAATCGCTGATGCTGATAATAGGCTATTAATTTTGACCAGCCACCTTTAACAAAGGGCTGGGGTTTTGTGTGGCGTGTCACACAGAAAGAGAGGGTTACTAGGCGGCGTGAGATTTCCTTACCACATAATTTGTGGTGTAAAACCATTCCCAGGTTTTCATAACAAAGCCATGTATCTTAAGGCTCTGTGCTCCTGTCTGGCCGCCTAAATTCACGTTCCCTTTTTGCATAATTCATGCGCTTCTTAAAGGCTCGGGTAATCACAATTCGTGATACATAATACACCTTTGATAAGCGCGCCTGTGTTGCCCAGCGGCCTCTGCCTGCACAGTGCCGGAGCCCCCCGCGCCGTCCGCTGCCGCTGCTGGCCTGGCGTTGGCCGGCCGTTGTGGCCGCCTCAGTCCGCCGTCCGTCCCCCCGTCCGCGCCGCCCGGCCTGGCCTGGCCGGGGCTCGGCTGGGGCTCCCCCATCGCCCCGCGCTCGCTTGTTTGTGTCGCGCTCAAAGCCGGCCGGGCCCACTAATTGAGCGCGCCGGGCCTGTTAAACACGCCGCCGGCGGCGGCGGCGGTGGCGGCGTCCCTGCCCGTCAGCGTGTCGCTGTCGGCTGAGCCCAGGTGCTGCGCCTCTGCCGCCGGCCGGGCCGGCTGCCCCCGTCTGATCGGGCCGCGCGCTCGGCGTCGGCGGCCGCGATCGTGTCTGCCGCCGCACCGCTCTACTCTGTCAGCTGGCGGTGTGAGCTGTGCGGCGGCGGCTGCTGTGGTACCGTGTCCGTGACGGTCTGCGTCAGCAGAGCGCGGCGTCGGCGGGCGCGGGTCGCCGACCCCGCCCGCCACTCACGCCCAGACGGTCGGCCTCTCCTCTCGCGGTGGCAACGCGTGCTCCACATTCGCCGCGCCGCTCGTTTTTCGCCGCGCCGCGCCGAGGACCGTCGCGGCCGCGCGCTCGCCCCTCCATCACGCGTCGGCGGCGCGTCGTAACTGCCGTAAATCGCCGACGACGACTTGGGGGCGGCGCCGGCCGCTGACGATTTACGACGCCTGCGCGAGACACGCGGGCCGAGCGACGTCGCAGCGAAATCAGGGCCGCCGCCGGGTGCCTTCCGCCTCGTGTCTACGCTAAACAGCGCCGAGCGAGCCTCCCCCGGCAGCTGTCGCAAGCCGGTGCCTGTTTGCCGGTGGGCTCGAACTCTCGTCTCTCAGCGCGGCTATTTGTCCCGGCCGGCACGCCGGCCTTTTTGTCCGGCCCGGCCGGGCGCATAAAACGCTCCTCCCCCGTCTGTTTTTGCGCCCGCCCGCTCTGGATTTACGGAGGGTGCGCGGCCTTGTCGGAATGGGCCGAGGAGCGGCGCGCGCTGGCACAGCGGAGCACGCTTGGCCTGGCCGGCCGGGTGGGCAGACAGGGGAATAGTAGCCGGGGTGTGTGAGTGTGGGGGGGGGGGGGGGGGGTATGATGGCTGTGCGTTGTCATAAACGGGCGACAGCGTGCGATCAAGTGAAGAGGGCACACGTTTTTCTCGAGTCGTGGCGCTGGACTGTCCTGAAGCGCAGCAACGCTCGGCGCAGGAGCTCGTACCGCGTGGCGATGGCGTGGGAAGGATGCGGCTGCGTGCCCGGCCGTGATCGCTGTGGGCGCCGGCGCGGCCCTGCGCGGCCCGGCGCTGGGCTCGACGGCGGACTCCGCGCAGACAGCGGTGTGCCTGGCTCGGCGGCGGCAGGACGGGACGGGACGGGACGCCGGCTCCACCTGGCGTGACGGTACCGCTGCGTCCCGTCGCCCTCCCCAGCCCAGCCAGACGCAGCCCGACCAATCACGTGGCCACGGAACGGGTCCGGGCCTCCGCCGCCGCCGCTAATGGTGTCGGACGCGTTGGACGTCTTCCGACGGAGCTTCCTGTCTGAGCGAGTCACATTGCGCACGGGTCGGCGGCTCTCCCCGCCGTCGGAGGTACTCCGTCGGCGGCCAGCCGCCAGTAACGAACAGCTGGTGGTAAAAACGGGCGGCTTTTGTGGCCGGGTGGACCACCAGGTTGCGGCGCGATACGCCGCTGTGTGCCATTGTGCACAGGCCTTTGATTCCGCCTGTTTTTGTCGCATGGTAAAACGAAGCACATGTGGCAATTTTTACGGCGATGTTTATGAGCACCTATTTCAATAGCTGGTTATGCCTAGACAAAGACAACAAAGCACAACTCTCTAAAGTTGTGCCAGACCTCACAATGAGTTTTTTTTTCTAACCGTACGCAAGCGCATGTGAAAATTTCCAGGGTGGTCTTATTCCCATCGCTCTCCATCGTTTCACTTATCTGCACATTCATTACTACTTACCTTCTTATGATATTTCCCTTGGGAAACAGTTTTCCATTAAGTTTCTGGCTTCAATCTTGTGTAGTATACGTTGTTTATTATGCCTTGAGAAAAACCACACCGCTGTAAGCGATACACCAAAAGCACTTAAATAGGCTTACAACTTCCAAACTCCATCCACATACACCACAGGTCATCAAGCGGTTGCTGTTGGCGACATCCACCGAAGAGTGCACACGTGCTATCTGCCCTCGTGTCGCGGCCTGATATCGCCGAGCTGTTGCTGCTGCTGCCCCTGGTGCCCTCTCCGTCTGCCACCGCTCGGCTCCGCTCTCCTTCCGCTGTCAGCGACTCAATCTATTCTGCCCTCTGTCCGCCGCCGTCACCCGCTGCGCTAATTTATCGGCTTTGTTAATAGGCCGGCCGGGTTTTGTGCGGCGCCAGGCCGCTCCGAGGCCGCCTCGGTCGGTCCCTTGTGCCCATTTCCGGGCCGGCGTTCCAGCCGAGTGAGCGGCCGCCGTCTTCGGACCCGGAGGACGCGCCGGTGAATGGCTCGGCTCGACCGGCTCGTCTCGTCTCGTTCAGGACGCGCCGGGCCAAGTCTCCCGAGGGGACGGGTGATGCTTTTGTCCCGCCGTGGGTCCCGTCGGCCTCGTCCACGGTCGTTCCTCTCAGCTCGCCCCAGGAGGGCCGTCGTGTCCCACTGACCAGCACGGGGTCGCGCCGCCCACCCACCCGTCTCCAGGACAGATGCGAGTGTCTCGGGCGGGCACCGTGACGAACGGCCGCCATCCAGGATCTCTGGACGGACCGCGGTCCGCCTGAAGTGGACTAGGACCGGTATCTCGCCTCTCCACCTTCTGGCCGGTCCGTCTCCCCCGGTCGCTGACCGCGCGTCGCTTTTAGTCGAACTCATTACCGCGCGCCGTCAGACGGCGGCGGCTCCAGCGGCGCGTGTCAGCTGCTCCGATGATCCCACACCGACTGGCGCCCTGCCTGCGTCTCCCCCCCCCCCCCCCCGGGCGGATACACCTGACGTGCCGGACTCGCCGCGGCATCGCCGCCGCCAGCCGACGCCCAGCTGCAGCCCGCGTATCTCCGCGATCGGAGGTGCCCGTCGGGCTGGTCCGCTCGCCGCCCCCCGGTGGAGTCGGCGCCGCCGGGGTCTGATCGCGGGCGTGATGTCGGTCCCGGCGCGGTCCGCTCCTGCCGAGGAGTGGCGGGGTGCCGGTCAGAGGTGTTCTCCAGGCACCACCGAAGGTCAGAGATGTATACTGGGGGCCAAGGGGTCGTGATACTCGACTGGCTCGGCTGGCTCCCCGCTGGAAACTGATAGCGAGCGCATGGGTATGTGTGGTACGCTTCAGTTGCGAAGTCAGAGCATGGTCAGGACACAGCGGGTGGAGGCCGCTGGTCTTACAGCAACCATGTTAGGCGTCCGTGGTGTGTGGTTGATAATAAATATTCGTAAATGAAATTGGTTTGGTCCCTTGTGCCTGCCGTAATGACTGACATTGGCATGAAGAGCCGGCTATATTTGGACGACGCCGTCGGCCCTGGCCTCGTCTGGTTTTTAGTTTGGTGACGCGGATCAACCAATCAGTGGAATTGTACGTGGCTTTGTCGTTGCATTGAATGCCTTGAGCCCCCCCCCCCCTCCCCTCTCTGCCGCCGCCGTCTTCTGAACCGATGTTCAAAACCAGCGCGGCCAGTGGCGTTGGTGACCTTGGTTGGACCTGTCGGCATGCTCGTAACACTGCGGGGTTTCATTGTGCAGGCGGAAGATTTGCGTGCTCGACGCTTGCAAGGGGCCTTGGTGTGTCCATGGCGCTGGGGCTCAGGTGCAGACCGGAGCCGGCGGCTGGAATCCCCGCGCGGATCATCCCATCTCGTGCCGGCTGTAGAGGAGGCAGCAGCCTGTCGCCCCTGTTATCGGCATTCCACTGGCGGCGTGATCCGCGCTCGCGCTTCTGTGCGCCCGTACAGGACTGGGCAGCAGGAATGTGCTGACGAGATGGGACGCAGGACGCCAGCCCCTCCCCCCCCCCCCCCCTCTCCACACACACACACTATCAGCTAATGGACTGTGCTCACGCCTCAGTTATCCGGGACTGGATAGCATGGGCCGGTGCTCCACGTGTCGACGTGGCCCACGGAGAGGCATAAGGAACGTGGTCCTGTGAGCGTGACCTGTTGCGACTGGCTGGAACAAGTGAGCTGTCCGACCCACCGGTGCTGTTCGCACACATCTTGGGGATTGCACGTCGCGCATGTTCCGTCCATCGCATTCTTTCTCGCCATGCACTATTAACGCCGTAAATGTGGCATTGATGATAACCATCTAATTGCTGACCCAAGACCGGCCCTGATCAGCCGTCCGTCCACCCGTCGCTTGTCTGACCTTTGGGAGCCGACCCGTGGCGACCTGCCGTGACCTCTGCCGTCGCTCGCCCGACCTTTGGGCGCCGACCGTTGGTGACCGGCCGTGACCTTTGCCGTTGCTCGTCCGACCTTTGGGCGCCGACCGGTGGTGACCTGCTGTGACCTTTGTTGCAGCCGAGAGTGACCTGACGGTGTTCAGCGAGCGCACGCACCACCACACCACCGAGTATGGCCAGTGTCGCAGCCTGTTCAGCGCCGACAGCCGGCCGGCCGTCATCCGGCGGCTGTACGAGCAGGCCGTGCTCAACCCGGTGGTGGTGCTGCGACAGCTGGACCTCTTCAGGTGAGAGCGCCGTTCTCTGGACTGGCACACGGCAGACACCACTCTCTAGACTGGCACACGGCAGAGCGCCGTCCTCTGGACTGGCACGTGGCAGAGCGCCGTCCTGTGGACTGGCACACGGCAGAGCGCCGTCCTCTTAACTGGAACACGGCAGAGCGCCGTCCTCTGGACTGGCACACGGCAGACACCACTCTCTAGACTGGCACACGGCAGAGCGCCGTCCTCTGGACTGGCACACGGCAGAGCGCCGTCCTCTTAACTGGAACACGGCAGAGCGCCGTCCTCTGGACTGGCACACGGCAGAGCGCCGTCCTCTTAACTGGAACACGGCAGAGCGCCGTCCTCTTAACTGGAACACGGCAGAGCGCCGTCCTCTGGACTGGCACACGGCAGACACCACTCTCTAGACTGGCACACGGCAGAGCGCCGTCCTCTGGGCTGGCACACGGCAGAGCGCCGTCCTCTTAACTGGAACACGGCAGAGCGCCGTCCTCTGGACTGGCACACGGCAGACACCACTCTCTAGACTGGCACACGGCAGAGCGCCGTCCTCTGGACTGGCACACGGCAGAGCGCCGTCCTCTTAACTGGAACACGGCAGAGCGCCGTCCTCTGGGCTGGCACACGGCAGAGCGCCAGTCTCTTAAATGGAACACGGCAGAGCGCCGTCCTCTGGGCTGGCACACGGCAGAGCGCCGTCCTCTTAACTGGAACACGGCAGAGCGCCGTCCTCTGGACTGGAACACGGCAGAGCGCCGTCCTCTTAACTGGAACACGGCAGAGCGCCGTCCTCTGGGCTGGCACACGGCAGAGCGCCGTCCTCTTAACTGGAACACGGCAGAGCGCCGTCCTCTGGACTGGCACACGGCAGAGCGCCGTCCTCTTAACTGGAACACGGCAGAGCGCCGTCCTCTGGGCTGGCACACGGCAGAGCGCCGTCCTCTTAACTGGAACACGGCAGAGCGCCGTCCTCTTAACTGGAACACGGCAGAGCGCCGTCCTCTTAACTGGAACACGGCAGAGCGCCGTCCTCTGGGCTGGCACACGGCAGAGCGCCGTCCTCTTAACTGGAACACGGCAGAGCGCCGTCCTCTGGACTGGCACACGGCAGAGCGCCGTCCTCTTAACTGGAACACGGCAGAGCGCCGTCCTCTGGGCTGGCACACGGCAGAGCGCCAGTCTCTTAAATGGAACACGGCAGAGCGCCGCTTTCTGGGCTGGCGCACGGCAGTGGAGCGTCCCAGCTCGGATGCACGGAAATGGGACTTCTCCATATCAATGGGTGGGCGACGACCTCCTCGAGGTCAAGACACGAGGGCGGGTTCTTGGCGAGGTCAGCCCAGACCAGCTGATGGGCCATGTGGGCTTCCGCTCGGTTAGTACATACGCCGCGCTGCTCTGACTAACACCGTTAAGTGCGTCGGCTCAGGTATGCGCCGCTGCAATGGTCCGGGCGTGCGATGCTCGTTGACATGGATCTGCGGAGTAATGTACTGGCCGGCGGCAGCCCATTATTCCGCGCCGTTGAGTTTGCTTGCGTACCTATTTGGGCGGGTGGAGGTATGTGTATCCAGTTGATGGAGTGGTCCTCTTTAAGCCGCCGGCAAAAGACTGGCGAGTGAGATTTCCGGCGGTGTTCGACGCAGCCACTTGTAGGGATCCGACTCAAGTGTTTGCTCGCCGTTTACGCGTGCCACCGCCAGGGGCGCTGCCGCGCCGCGCCCCGCCGTCCAGTGATCTCGCTGCGTAGGTCGATATCAATGGAGGGGCGTCGGTCTTGTAAGTGGTGTCCGAAGGGAGCCGAGACGCGCCGGGCGGGGGAGCGCGAGGGGAGCCGGCGGTGGCGCCCCATCTGTCCGCCAGACGCCGGACGGAGCTCGTGCCGACCGCCGGCGGCGACGGCGCGCGTTGCGCCGAGTTTGCCAGCTGGGGTCCACGGTCCGCGGTGTGCGCGATCCGCGGCGTTCGCGCCGGGTGCGTCGGCGCCGGGGGTGTGCTGGTTCGCGGTTCTGCGCCTTGTCCCGTCCGGCGGGAGCGTGTCGGGCCCTGCACCGCGCCGGCTAGCCGGACGTCTCGCTGCGGACCTGAGGTAAACTCGTCACTCCCCGCTGTACCCGCTGTATATATCATGCTTCGCTCCGTCGGTTAAGGCGGCGGCTGTTGTTGACACAAACCAGCGCCCGTTGGCACCGTTGTCACAGCTGCGTCGATGTCCACATCCTGTTCCAAGGCGCGGTGTCGAACCGGGCCGGCCCGTCGCCGAACAGTGATGTCTGTAGAACTCCGCGGCGCCCCGTCCGTTTGCGGGCTCGCCGGTCTGCCGCGCGTGCGCGCTCGTGTGTGTGTGTGTGTGTGTGTGTGTGTGTGTGTGTGTGTGTGTGTGTGTGTGTGTGTGTGTGTGTGTGTGTGTGTGTGTGTTTGTGTGTGTGTGTGTCTCGGCTGCGTCACGGGGTGGCACGTCTACCCCCCCCCCCCCTTCTATCGGCCCTGTCGGTCGGTGTTTAAACACGCGGGCGTCGCACCGGCGCGAAACACGCCTCGATAAGATAGCGGGCCGCCATGCTGAGGTCTGCTCCAGCCCCAGTCGGCCGCCGGACCGGCACCCGGTGGCGCCTGCGGGGAGTGCGGGGCACCTGCGAGGAGCGAGTGTCTCGCCTCGACAGGAAATGTCTGGCTGACGCCGGTGAGTTCGGCCGGGTGGCCCGCCGCTGCCGCACTGCCCGGGCATGTGCTACAGATGTCGGGCGCCAGGCTGGCCGGCTGGGCTGGCAGCCTGCGTCGGGTGGGGACCGAAACAGGACCCGGTCGGCACGGGTGAGGTAACGCAGGTCACGCGCGTTATGTGACGCGCGCACACGGCGTATCCGGTAAAAGCGACGGTGATCTCCAGGTCCGCGGCAGGGGCCGGGTTGGGCGTAATTTCCCAGAAGCGCGCCGCCATTTGCCGCTTGATGTAACGGGTAGAAACAGTCGTTAGCTGAGATGTCGCAATCTCGTTCCTCCGCTGTTAGCTTTTTAGAGCGTCAGGCAATGAACTAGCCATCCACTGGACGGAACGTTTGATCCGCTCCGCAATACCATGTGCGTGTGTGATGAAGATAGTGGGTAGGTGCGCCGCTGCGACCCCTGCTCTGTTCCAGCTCAGTAATCGCTTGATTTTCATAGAGCGCCGGAAGTCCCCACCTGTTGGAGCACTGCAGGGACGGCTGTCTAACCCCCCATATGGGAGTCCCTGTGGCGGGAAGCATTCCAACCCGTTGCGGCTGTCCCCCAGTGGCGGCCGCAGCCCGCTACACCGGAGAGCGGGGCCGCTGCGATGCGCCGGCGATGACCGTTCGTGTGGTCAGTGGCCGCCTGCCGACAGCCAGGGGCTCGTCGGCAGGATCTCCGTCGCGTCGTCCCGTACTCGGCCGAGCGAGGCAACCACCCGCTGGCTGGCGGGAGTGTCAGCAGTGCCGTCCGCCGTCTGGCTGGCGAGAGTGTCAGCAGTGCCGTCCCCCCGCTGGTTGGCGAGAGTGTCAGCAGTGCCGTCCCCCCGCTGGCTGGCAAGAGCGTCAGCAGTGTCGTACCCCGTTGGCTGGCGAGAGTGTGAGCAGTGTCGTCTGCCCACTGGCTGGCGGGAGTGTCAGCAGTGCCGTACCCCCGCTGGCTGGCGGGAGTGTCAGCAGTGCCGTACCCCCGCTGGCTGGCGGGAGTGTCAGCAGTGCCGTACCCCCGCTGGCTGGCGGGAGTGTCAGCAGTGCCGTACCCCCGCTGGCTGGCGGGAGTGTCAGCAGTGCCGTCCGCCCGCTGACTGGCGGGAGCGTCAGCAGAGCCGTCTGCCCACTGGCTGGCGGGAGTGTCAGCAGTGCCGTACCCCCGCTGGCTGGCAGGAGTGTCAGCAGTGCCGTCCGCCCGCTGGGTGGCGAGAGTGTCAGCAGAACCGTCTGCCCACTGGCTGGCGGGAGTGTCAGCAGTGCCGACCGCCCACTGGCTGGCGGCAGTGTCAGCAGTGCCGACCGCCCACTCGGCCGTCCGGTGTGGCGGTGGGCTGGTGGCAGTGTCATTCCGGTTGGCAAGGACAATGTGCTTGTCCGCCTCACCGGAAGCTGAGGTGGACAAAAATGACCAGTCGGCTTTATAAATGACGGAAAATGACATATCCCAGCTGGTATGACACGGTCTGATGCACAGATCCAATGTGAACCCTGTTCTTTTAACGGCTGTTTTCACCTCGCGACCGCCCGGTCCGTTGCTTGAGCGCAGCCGGCGGTGTCGTTAGATGCATCATCCCGTCGGGGTTGTTGCCAGGCGCAGACAGCTGTCAGCGGCCGGCTGTTTGGCCCCAGAGTTCGACACAGCGACAGCGGTGCGACTGCTCCCCCTCCCCCATCCGTCATCGATCGGCAATAATCATGAGTTTGGTTGGCACACCACACCACAGCCTGGCTTGCAAGAGCCATCGGTGTGACCATCGCTTTGAGCGTTGAAGTCCGACCCAGCAACCACACGGAGTTTGTGACTATTTTAGTATTTTGCCCCTACAGTATAGCACCAAGGGAGACGGGACCTCAGGGCGTCGATGTCGTGCCTTCAGATAACGTCGAATGTGTATCCGCGCCTCCGATGCTGACCGAGTAGCCAGCCGCGCAGTATGGATGTCTCAGCTGACTGGCCTGCGCTCTCTGGAGCTGCGAGCCAGCTGCCGCTCCCGCAGCGCGGCCGGCTGTCGCAGATAACCTCCCCGGATGCGGCGCCTGGGCTGAGAATAGCCGGCGCAACATTGCGACCGGCGAGGCGGCCCGGCATTCGCGGCATAGCCGCCGTTCGACGCGGGGATTTCAGCGGTCGTTACCACTCGTGCCGACGCCACACGCGGGACTCGCCCTCCGCCGATGACGAATACGTCCACCTGACGCCCGGTCTGCGACGTCGCGCCGGGGTCGGGGCGTGGGTTAATGAGGTGGGGGCCAAGGAGGAGCCTGTGAAGCCATCGACTGGCCAGTGCGTGAGGCTCCGGTAGATTGCAGCGACTGGCCTGTCTTATGGATGACGCTCACACACCTGGCGATTTGTTGTCATTGGCGCATCAGGTACACATGGATATCAGCAGCCTCACGCCTCTCAACGTGGTCCGTCCGACTCCTAACAAACCCTCCGTTCTCGTTCTCAGGAGCGATGGCATGCGCAGCTCCAAGTTTTTCACCTGCACGCCGACGTATCAGAGCCAGCTGGAGCGCCTGCCGCTGGACATCGAGACGAGACGGGTGAGTGTGCCGGCCCGCCCGGCTGGTCCCAGCAGCCAGCGCTGGCCACAGCGCTGGGTGGCTGGCTGCCCAGCGGGTTGCCCGCCGTCGCGGTGCTTTTTATCGGCGCTCTCCGTTTTTGTGCGGTGCATATTTGTCGGGGCGTTGCCGCCGCATCGGTGATGGCGATGGTTTTTACGTGCGGGAATCGTCTCGGAATAAACCACGATTGCGATCGTAGTGCCGAGTCTTCCTGTCTCCCCTCCCCACCCCCTTTCTCCGCTGGCTCTCCCTCGCTCTCCTCCGCCATGCCTCCTTGCGCCAATGTCTGTTTCGTCTCTCCGCCGTCCCATGCCCCTCCTTCCTCCGACGCTCCTCACTCGACGTCCCTCCCCTCTCCGAGACCGTCGCCATGCGGCGTCCTCACGACTGTCCAGCAGCCGGCTCGCGCTGCGACCACGCCGTCCGCCGCGAGGAAGCCAGCCTGGGTGGGAATCTCTCCGAGCGGGCTCGCGGCCCATCACCCGGGCATTCACTGGGAACCCCTGACCGCACAGTGGCGGGGTGGTCAGCGGACCACACTGCCTGCACTCAGGACCGCACCACGCCCGTCCTCCGGCGCCGCCCCCGGCCGGAGGAGGGCTCCGGCCCCGCTGTGTGCCCGCCGCCGCCACCTCCCCGCGCCCTCGGCTGCCGGAGAGGCTCCGCTGCTGGAGTACCCGGGCACGCCGCGCTCGTCCATCCCGCCCATGGTGGCAATTAGTTTCGATGACGGCGATGATGGGGCAGTTACAAAGTGACTTTGTTCCGCCGGGTACTCGTGGCGAGTTTGCTAGATACGCTGTGCTTGCCGACGCTTCTCGCTAAAGAGACTGGATAGCCTCTTGATACTGAAAGCGCCGGTCGCTAGCAGAGTCTAGGCTCACCAGCCGCCCTGCCTGAGATGGTCCTGGACCGTCTTTTGAGCGCCGGAGACGGTGTCATCAGCGGGGCGCATTCGTCGAAACTTAGCCCCATAAGGAAAAGGGCATGACTGATGGTGGGCCAAGTGTGGGGTTTAGTAACAACTGAGTTGTCGTCTGCCGCGCCCAGAGATCATTTATCTTGCCGAGCCGGAGCGGACCAGAGCAAATCGTTTCCGATCGGGGTCCGGCGAGCGGCAGTTCGGCGGCCGGCCGCCCGCCGCCGGCCATGTGAGCGGCCCTTCCAGTCGGCTTTCTCCACAGGAAGCGGTCGATTGGGACCCGGCGCCCGGACATTTTCCGTGGTAGCCGCCGGCGGACGGGTGCGGTATTAGTTTAATTGAGTCGGCTGGCACGGGGCTCCTCGTCCGACGCCGAATCGATGCTGGTGCCTGTCGTGAGTTGCGTCCGGTCGGGACGCCGCAGGCGCGCTCTGCGAGCGCGCCGGGCTCGGCGAGCGCGCCGGGCTTGGTGGGCGCGCCGGGCTCGGTGAGCTCCGTGAGCCCGGCGGCGTGACGGGCCGGCTGCGTGTCACGCCGCGCAACCACGGCCGCCGCGGCGTGACGGCCGGCGGCGCGTGGGTGAATGTTACGGCCGTGGCCTCCGCCGCGTTGTCCGGTGTGTCTGCGGCGCCTACGCCCCTGTCCGGCGCCGTCGCCGGCTCCCTCCGGCGGGGATTACCAGCGGCCGGGAGACGGAGTGGCCGGATCCATACCCGGTCCATAAGAGCAGTCTTACCCGAGCCTTCCACTCGCGCGGATCGATGCTGCTCCCCACGCCCCGATCAGTCGGTGCGCGCACGGGTAGGTGACGCGGCTGCTCTGGGAGAGGTGAGCGACTTGCTGTTCTGAGCACAGCTGCTCCAGTAATGGCCTCATCAGCTCATCTCATCAGCTCTGGTAATGGTCTCCGCACGACCAGATCTCCGTTGTTCCACCATCTGTCCCCGCCACGTGCCTCCACGATCATCGCTTGGTTAATCCCGGGTTCCATCCGTTCACGCACCCCAGACGGCGCGCTTCCGCCCCCCCCCCCCCTTCAGCTCTGCCGTCTGACGCCTCGCGTCGCCACCCCCGTCGCTTCCGACTCACGGCGGTCATTGCGACGCAGCGTGGGAGCGGCTGGCCGCCCCCTTCTCGGCCGGCGCTGCCGCCCCGATGGCGGCCGCGCCGGTCTGCCGGCGCTATTAACGCCGGCGCGCCGCCGTCGCCGTCTTTGTTTGCCCCGGCTTGACTTGCAACAGGCGCGCGCCCGGCCCACAAAAAGCGCGCGCCTGTCCGTCGGCTTGCGGCTTGCTTGGGCGCGGCGGCGGCCCTGCGTGGTCTGAGACGCTTTTCTCTGCTCTGGAGAAACAGAGGCCGCTTGCTGACACGCCGGCGCCGCTTCCGTAAGATGAGACGACTCCTGCGTTATCTCCGGGTCTGGCGCACGGGAGAACGAGTCGGTCACCTGTTGCTGCCGTGGTGGCTGTGGTCGGTGCTCGCCTTTCGCCTCTCACGGCCGCGCCGTCTGTGTCCGGCGGCCGGTGGTGTGCCCACCCCCTCCGCCCGGCTGGAGGTCCCTGGTCCTGCATGCCTTGTTATCGCCCGCCGGCGGTACGGCCCGACACCGGCGGGAGGTATGTGGACCCCTGTCAAGACCCGTTAGTTGTCTCGAGGAGCGGCGCGCCGGGCACCGGGCGCGCTGAATGAGGGCGGCAGCGCGCGCTGGCTCAACGGTGGCGGATGTGGGGCTGCAGACCGTGAGGAGACACCCGAGCTGATCCGCTGTAAAGCAGCCGTCGTTGATTGCCTGCCAGCTCGACACGCTCACGGCGGCTCTTAATTCCACTCACGTCGGCTTATGTTGCTCTGCCAAACGGCGCGCTAGGTGTCTTCATCCTGCGGCGGAGTGAAAACACCGCCACCTAAATTACGCATCCGTCACGATCAGATTGAACGACAGGGCCATCTTGTTGCGGCGCCGGCGGCGCGGCGTCGCTGCTGGTTAGTCGGGGGCGGCTCTGCGGCTCTGCGGCTCTGCACGGCCGCAGCGTCAGCACTTGATTCGGTCGGCCGGGCCTGGCGGCGCCGATAGTTGGGCGTCGTTAATTCGGTTTGGACGTCTGGTCTCCAGGGCCCGGCTGTCAGCGGCGAAGACTGCCGTCGCCTGGCCATTAGGGCCGCTGCGGGACTGGGGAGGCCCCAGGTGCGCCGGCGGAGGGGCGGCGTCGGCCCCGTGCGTCAAAACAGTGAGGAGGGGACGGCGTAGGGGAGCGCGGCTTTCAGCGGTGAACGAGCGGGAATTGAAGGCGAGAGGGGGGGGGGGGGGGGAGAAAGAGGCGCACTGTTTCTGCTTGGAGAGCAGAACTGGTGTATGGTGGTTACGTGCGAGTGCCTGCGACAGTGCGTCTTCCTCCGAAGAGCCTTCTTCGGGAGAAAGCGGAGGCGTCACCGATGAACGCGACCGTCGGAGGGATGACCTGAGCAGCCGTGTTGTGTGACGGTCGTCGTCTGGGCGCCGATTTACTGCGGGCGCTGCTGAGTTACCGCCGCCCTAAGTTGGCCGCGCGGCCGGCCCCTGCCGCGCCGGGCCGCTGGCGCTGACGGACGGCCCTGTTAGAGCCGGCCCGCGTCCGCCAGGTCACACGGCTGACCCCCGGAGCCGGGCGGCGGCCGACCGTTCCGCTCTGCCGTCTCCCGGAGCAGGGCAGAGAGAGGGATATGGCGCACTCCGTCCTCTGTCTGCGGCTCGTGGAGTTGTGTTTTCGGTTTGATGGTGGGGTGATCCTAAGTGGAGATCTCCGTCAGGTTCTGTTGCGCGGTGTGTCGTGAAATGAGAGGAAGCATACGCTGTGAAAAGGCAGATGTGCTGGGGCCAGCCTTCGGACCAGCCTGCTCATCGCAAGCTGTTCGGAGTTTAGACTGCCTTATCCTGACCTGACGCGACCATGGCTCCACCCATGACTCCGTGTATTTGTCCTGCTCTGTTTACGTGACACCGGAAAGGTGACGAGGACTGACACACGCGGCCCAGAGCGCGCCGTGACTCACACCCGGCCGTGTTTATCGCGGAAACTGGGCCTGGCCGCGCCGGGAATAGGGCTCGTCTCGTCTGCGGCGGCGGCGCGGCCCATCGCGCCCGCTCAGTCACGAGTACGGCCGCAGTCGGCCGGCGGGGCATCCTGCGGCCTGCCCCGCTGTCACGTCCGCCGTCACGTTCTGCCGTCACGTCCGCCGGACGGACGGGCGCGCGCCGCCGGCGGCCGCGATAGCCAGGCGGGTCACGCGCGCCCGCCCACGGCGGCGGCGCGGGGCCGATTGGGGCGGCCGGCCGCGTGTCACCCGTGATCCAGCGCCTCCTGGTGTGTGGTCTGCCGGCGGAGAGGACGGGGGAGGCGAGAGCCGAGAGCTGGTCGGCTGAAGTGGTGCTGCTCGACTTTGTTTGCACGGCTGAGATTCGGATCTGGGCGTTGTGTACGTTTGAAAGAGTCGCTGGCCTATCTAGAATGGGTTAGTATCGCGGCCGCTGGCTGTAAGGGTCCGCGCCGGGAATGGCAGAGGCTGGTAGAAGAGGCAGAGGCAGAGGCCAGGCCGGAAGATACGGACGGACGTGGAGAACGTGAATGACTGTCTCAACGTCCCATACCCAGCCGGGCAACTTCGGTCCAAATGTGTGCGGCTCCACGCCAGGATTCTCCACACGACACCGCAGTGCCGACGTCGACGCCGGGGGCCGTGGGTATCCTGATATGGCAGCGCCTCGCGGCGGGTGACGATACCAGGTGGGGCGCGCGGGAGGGCTGCAGCGATGGAGGGTGGCATCTGACCGCGGCCAGGTCGTGGAGGTGTTCTCGTGCCTGTTAACGGGCCGTCAGCCCGCCACCAATTCGTCTTCAGTCTTGTGGGGCCGAGCCGTTGGAACCGGTGCGGTGACAAGCCGGCCCCAGCGGGTCACGCTGCATCTCGGTCAACGGCTCCCCCAGGCCGAGATAAATGAGTGACTCAGGTACGGAGACGGGGCAGGCGCCACTCGCGCAACGCTGCAGACTGCCGGTGACGCGACCGCCTGCACTCTGTCCGCGGCACGATGGAGAGACGCTGGCAAGAGTAGCCTCGCTCTTCCGAACTCATGGGCCATGGCTATTAGTGCTCATTTACGAGCTGTTCCAAGCGTATTCCATATGCAACAGCTTTGCTTTCTACCTACGCTGTTCACATCCATGGGTATGGTGCGCACATCATGAGTATGGGTGCGCACATGCTGGGTTCTGGACCGCAACGTCCGGTCACAATCGCTACCACATGGCACGCCTACGGAGCCATGTATGCGCTGTTTCGCACCCTCGGACATCGGACACAATGCAACCTTCGGACATGCCTCCCAAACAGCCTTGCCCAGTCCAGTCAGCGACAAGCGGCGGCTGCACAGGCCGGAACCCACCGCGTCCGTATGAATGGGCTCCCGGAACAGGGCATGCCACGTCGCAGTGTGAGAGTCGTGATCCATCGCTCGCGTCAGAGGAGGCTGGTGCAGGGCCTGGCCTTGACCCTTCGCGGCGAGAGCACCGCGGCCGAACGCCGGCGTGGTGGAACATAATGGGCCGGTGATACTGCAGTCGCCTCGAGCGAGGCTCTGCACAGTCGAGGCGCCGCGCGGCGATACCATACTACTGCGAGCGGTCGGACGGGGTGGCCGAGGCCGCGGTCGACGGCGGCGGCGGCGGCGGCGGCGGCTTCGGTCCACACTCGGAAGCTGCTCCGGCCGGACGATAAACAGCGCTGACGTCACGTTCGTCGTATGCTGGTGATTGCATTGACAGCGCGCTGTTTACACGCCAGCTCCCACACCGGCTCCTTTCCCAGGCGTATTGGACCGAGTTTAATTAGCGCTGCGCTTTAACCGCATGCGGGTGAGCGTCGCTTCCAGCTCAGTGCACGTGCGTGCGCCAGCCCGTCGGCGCCGCTGCAGTCCGTTAGGCTGCAGCTCGGCGGCGGGGTTCGAGATGTCGCCGCCCGCTGTCTGACGACCGCCATGGACACGGCGCCGCCAGCGGCGTGCCGGCTCTGTACTGCGGTGGCTGTCCAGGGACCGCGGCTGCTGTCCTGGGACCGCGGCGGCTATTCCGTGACCACGGCGGCTGTCTGGGGACCGTGGCGGCTGTCCCGGGACCGCGGTGGCTGTCCCGGGGCTGCAGCGGCTGTCCCGGAACCACGGCGGCTGTCCCGGGACCACTGTGGCTGTCCCGGGACCGCGGCGGCTATCCCGGGACCACGGTAGCCCCGGCGCTCTCCATCGGCCGGGACTCGGGCCGCTTCCCGTGTGGTCCGTTGTGAGCTGATGCGGCGCCGCCGCGGCGCGGAGCTGACTCACGGCCGGGCCAGGCGGGGAGGTGGCGGGACGGGCCGAGGGCGGTCGACCGGCGGCGGGGTTCACGCGACACGTCCTGCTGACTCGTCGACATGCAGGGGGAGGGGGTTTTGCCGACTCATCGCACCAGTGGTGGGCAAACTTACCAGCGAGTTTGAGCACTTGGTGTGGATGGCTGCTCGCCGATACGGCGGACCTTGTCGGTCTGGATCGTCGTACTCGCGCGTTTTGGCACAGCTTGTGAAGAGTGAAAAGGCGTGAGAGGGACGCAGCCCCCGCGGGCCGATCGATCCGCCGGCGAACATCATGACAAGACGACTTACGTTCTCCTCATGGCGCGGCTGTGTCACTCGTATTGTGCGGAACAGAATGGTTTGTCCTTTGATGCTCTGATATCGGCGTCAGCTGAATGGGTGAAGGGGTTCTTTCAGGACATAGCTGAATCCCCGCCGTCGGTCGCCGGCCAGCCGCGCGCAGTTCGCACGCTCGCCGCCAGGCGGCTGCACCTGCGCGGCGCCGCCGTGGCGTCCGTGTCGGCGAAATACGGCGACAACGGCGTCATTACGGCCGGCTTCTGGCCGATGGCCAGTCAGGCGTGAGAATTCCTGAATGTGGAGCGTAGTGGCTCCTGGTTGCTGGGCAATGGCGCCGCCCCGGTGCCGCTACCCGGCTGGCGGCGCGCCGCCGGCCCGCCCGCCGACAGAGCGGACGGCCGGCGGAGTGAGACCAAGGAGGCAGCACGGGTGCGGGAGATGGCCGTACGTCGGCTGACCGATGGTCGCCGTTGGCTCGGGAGGGGAGTTCTGTGGAGAGTGTGTGCAGCAGAGGTGGACTTGTTTTGCCAGGCCTTTTTACGGCTGTGGCGGCCGAAGGTAAAGGCCTTTTGCCAGGCTTTTTCCGGGGCGGCGGCCGCACGCCGCCGTCCCGCAGGGAGCAGATAGATGGCGCCGCGCGGCCATCTGTCCGCCGTCGGAGGCCATCTGCTCCCCCCCCCCCCCTCTCCCTGTTTGCGGACCACGCAGGGTGCGTGCGGCCAGCGGTTGGCGCGGCGACCGCGTGTGTGTGGGAGAGTGCGGCGGCGTTTATTTGGCCGCCGCGCCGGAGCTATCGCTTGGCCGCGGGCGGTGCCAGCGCCGGCCCACCCGCGCCGCGGCGCCGCCACTGAGCGCGCCTGGGGCGGCGCTGGTGGGCTGAAGAATCCGGCCCGCCAGACGGACAGGCCCCGGTCCCGTGCCGTCCGGGAACGGCTGTAGGCCGGCTGTGAAGCGGGCCAGCTGAGGCGGCCGGGCGGGGAGCGGAATCGGTGCCGGAATCCGACGGAATCGGGCGGGTCTGGGGCGGTGGCGTTGTCGGAGGATGTGTTCGCTGTGCCTGGATCATGACGGCGGTACTGTGCGATATACCTGGACCATGGCAGTGGTGCTGTCCGATGTTTCGGAATCATGGCTTTTCTAAATAGATCTGGTATTGTCTGTCACTCTGGGAGTTGTGCGGAGCGTGCCGCGTCCGCTGCCAGAGTTCTGGTGTCGCCCTTGGTATAACTCACCAATCGGTGACAGCTGGGAATTAGCCGAGCCTGCGTCTTTGCCCTCCCCTCCCCCTCGTTCCCATCAGAGGTGCGCAGCTGTGTGATACCGTGGGGAGGCATAGCCCACGGTAATCAGCGGCCATTCATCGGCGTCATTGTCGCCATGTTTCACTTGAACCGCCGAGCGTGCGTGTCTCTCCCTTCCGTTTCTCTCTCTCTCTCTCTCTGCATCTCCGGTGCTCTTTCCATCCTGCGTTCCTCCGTGCACGAACGCCGGGCAGTTCTCCCGGCGTGAAATCAGATTCGCAATCGGAAAACGAGAACACGCTTTTCAATGTCCGCGGCTAATTTCTCCAAACCCCGTGGCAAGCGTGGTGAAACACTTGACGGATTGGCCGTCGAGACCAACAGCTTCTCGCCCGCCGTCGTCTGCTCGGCGGCGCTGGTCGGCGGCGTCTCCAGCCGATCCGGCCGTCAGCGGCCGGGGGCGCCGCCGGCCGTGTGGTGCAGGGCCGGGGCGGCGCTGCGTCCCGCTCCCACAGCGCGGCTCCGCACACGCCTCGGTCATTACACGCCGCGAGCCGGCCGGCCGGCGGGCGGCCGACCCGCGGTGCGGCGCAGCGGGCGCCTCGTGCTGTGGACGCCGCCGTGTGACTGGCTCCCCCTCCACTGGCTGCTGCTGGGAGACATTCTTGTCTCCGCTGACTGCTGTGGTGAGGAGTTCTCATCTCCGTCAGGTGGTGGTCTTGGTGTTTCAGATTTCGGTCTGCCGTGGCGGCTGACTTCCCGCGCTGGCTGCTCTCCTAGTTTCCTTCTGGTGCTGCGCGGGCTCAGATCTCTTGCATTATTTGCCCCGGCTTGCGGGCAATTTTGGACTGTGGCTGGTCCTGTAAGCTGTCGGGTGATTGTCCCGTGGTGCGGCCAGGGCTCGTGGCCACGTGAGTGTGCCGCCCGCACAGTTTGCCAGCTCGCCTGCCGCGCCGGGGGCCGACCGTAACGCACGCCGCCAATATTTACCCGCGGTCGCCCACAACCACACGCGGCAAACACGGTGCAAATGTTTGCCGGCCCGCTCCCTCTCGCTGCGTCACTCTCGCTGCTGCCCTGCCGCCCTGCCGCCGGCGTGCCGCCGCTCAGCGCGCTCCTCCGCGCGCGAGTGTTTACACGCTGGATGGGGACGCACAGGCCGGCTGTTGTGACGGCGGCACGTGCTCAGCGCCGCGCCGAGCGGCTCGTCCATCACCGGCCGTGACCTAGGGGCGGCGGCGGCTCTGTTCTCGGCGGCTGGGGCGCGTCATCCGTCAGCGACGCCGCCGGCGCGCGGCGGACGCCGGACGCGCGCCGCGTCACTCTCCGCCTCCGGTTGCGTCCGCCGCCGCCGCCGCCGCCGCCGCTGCCGGCGCCCGGGGATGGATCCACGGCTGACGTACCGTGGACGGGCCCGTCGAATCGCGCCGCTGGTTGAGACGTGACGCTCCTGACGGGAGGCGCGCCCGGCGGAGGAGGCGTCTTAGTTAGGGGCGGCGATGGGCGGCGCTGGCGGCCGATCCAGGTCTCAGATAGCGGCCGGCGCGGCGGCGTTTGTGATACCGGCGAGCTGCTGTACTAGGTTATCGGAACTGTCATCACGAGCTCTGCTGCGTAGCTGCTTTGCCACTCCTCCCGAGAGTGGCTGCCGCCCCGGCGCGGGTGCCCCTCCACTCTGACGTGCCCTCCCACTCCCCTGAACTCCACTCTGCCAACCAGTCGGATCGACATGACTAATCGGACGCTGGAGCGCCGTCAGCCCTGACAGCTCCGCGCCGGTGGAGTGCCGCCCTCTTCCCGCGTCTGCCACGTGCCACGTGCCCGTCGGACTCCTCTGATCTCAGGCCGCGCGGCTGCCACGGCAATGGCCAGAGAAGCCGGAGTAGCCGCCGGGGGAGGTGGGAGGGCGTCGGTCGCTGACCCCGTCCCGTCTCTCGACAGCCGGAGGAGGTGGCGCGACTGCCCGGCTGGACGGCCGACGACGAGGAGCTCACCTCGCCCGTGCACCCCGACCTGCGCTTCCACGCTCTGGGCCACACCGTGTCAGAGGTGAGAAGGGTGGGGTGCTGTGCTGGGCGCTGCCCAGTCGGGTGGACGCCGGTTGTGACCTGTGATGCGATGCTTGGGACCGTGTGGGTTAGACGTCGACGTGTCCTGAACCTGCACTCCAGATCCGCGCCAAAGAAAAGAGTCGCAAGTGAGATTAGCTTGCGACCCCAAGAGACACACTCCTGTCTGGAACGTGGACTGAGCGTCGGAAGTGTGCGGCACCTAGGATCCTATCCCAGATGACTACCGGTCAGAGATGAGAACCAGCGACAAGTGCCACGTCCTGTTTCCTTCGAGCAATACGCACCACTCACGAACATTACAAGTCAGCTTGATCGAACCCTCCCCTGACGGGGCCCCGCCTGCAAGTCGGGGCGGGTGAGAAGGGCGTCCACCTGCCGCTCGGGGCGGCACCGGGTCCGCAGCAACGCTGCATCATTAATCACCCGCGCGTTTAATCAATCGTTTATCATATCATACACTCACGCCGGCCGGCCCCGCCGCGCGCTCACCGTGAATAGGCGGCCTGCTCTCTGGTACGCAGAGCTGTGTGAGGCGCGGGGGACCGCAGGCAGGCGGTCAAGCGGGCGGTCTGTTTCGCCGCGACAGCGGAGCATGACGCGACGCTGCATGGCGTGCGTGCGTGGCGTAAACACAAAAAGTCCGTCCGAAATAGGTGCCGTAAATAGATGGTGAGACGCATTCTTTTAGTATCATCGCGCGAGGCTCTATTGTTGCGGTGCTGGTGTCATTGTTCTCTTGTGATTGTTGGCCCCCCCCCCCCCCCACCCCCACCCCCCAACCCCGTGGCAGCGCGTACACATCGCCCAATAGATCGAGGCGGGCTAACCTTAGGCGTGACAGAGTAGGATTCAGAACTCGGCTAGTGCTCCTGTCCCACCACATGCAGCCATGCGACGTGAAGTTACGCTATTGATCGTGCCAGCTGCGGCGCATCCACTGCGATCAGACGTCAGGGGTTCAGGGGTGCGTTGACGGCGTCTGCCCTGGCACATAAGCTGCCGGAGACACCCCTCAAGGCACCCGTGCTGAAGCCGACACAGAGCATGAGGCCGTTCTCAGTACGGCGTAGCCCCGCTGGTGACACCGATCGGGTTCCCGGCAGCGCCAGCGCGCCGTCCCTGCACCGCGTGCAGCGCCGTCAGGTGATTACATTATCGACTGTGTTTATTTGTACGGTGGCCACCGGCCGTGTCTGCTTCCCGGCGGACGGCCGTGCCCGCCCATGTCACGCGCGGAGGCCGAGCGGAGGACCGGTAACGCGGGGTCAGCAGGGAGAGGGGGCCGCCACGGCGGCCAGCCTCTCCACCAGCAGCCGATGCCATCCAGCGCCTGCCCTCCCCAGCAGACGGCAGGCGACGGCAGTTGAGTTCTGCACGGGCGCTGACGTCGTCCGCAGCCGCCGCTGTCTGCGGAAACCTGCCCATGCGCGCGAGCTTTTTGCGCGGCTTTGGCGGCGCGGAGGCTGTGCCCAGAGCTCCGGCGAGGCGAGGCGATTGAGTGATTTCACCTCTGGCCGGCCGTGCAGCGCGGTGTCTCGCCAGTTGCCACCGAGCCTGCAACCGACGCGCGCGCGGACCCGCTGACTGCACCCAGCCCGACGCGGTGTACACAGGAGACCCCGGCTGGCTGGAGACGGCGGGTGCGGAGATCGGGGACGCTGAGAGACAGTGTGCAGAGAGGAGACCGGAGGCGCTCAGAGGTCCTGCGCGGAGGAGATCAGAGGCGCTCAGAGATCCTGTGCAGAGGAGACAAGGGACCGTCCGTGTAAGGCACAAGATACAGGAGACCGAAGGCGGCCAGAACTGACGCTCACTGACTGACTGGAGGCAGCCCGGTGCACCGTGCGAGGGAAACCGAGAGGCGTCTGGCGAGGGTACGGCGGAGGATGTCGCCGCACTGGCTCACCGCCTGGTGTGATGTGACGCTCGGGTGGTTTGGCTGGGTGGTCAGATCATAGTCTGGTTTGGTCTGGCCTGGTCAGGTCATACTCTGCGCTCAGGACGACTCGCCGCTGCGTCGAGTCAGGTGACTCGTGACCGCATGTTGTGTGGAGTTGGGACGACTCGTCGCTACATGCCGCGTGAAGTTTGACTCGCGAGTGTATGCTGTGCGAACTCGAATGCCTCGGCCACGTGCTGCGTGAAGTCGGGACGGCCGGCGGTGGTAAAGTGGTGGTGGCCGGCGCTGCTGCCGGCACCAGGTCGGCCGGGCGGGGCGAGCCGCGCTTCTCGACGGGCCAGTTTTTGTCGGTCGGTGGTCCCTGGCACGGCGCGGACCACTCCGCTACCCCGCTCGACCCCTCGTCGCTCCAGTGCACGACTGGGCCCGCTGCCGCGCGCCGGCCGCAGCCGGCGGTACGTCAGTGTAGTCACCGGCACGGACTGTGAGCTCCAGGGACGGACGCGCACGAGCAGACCCTGTCAGCCGGTGTGTGACTCCTCTCCGCAGCGTGTCAGTCCCGGTCGTCCCACCTCACCGGCTCGTCGTCTGGCGGCGCCGGCCGTGCCGCCACAGTCGGTCGTCAGTGCCGTCTGCCGGCCGGCGGTCCGTCGGCCAGCGGCGCTGACGTGGCCTGTCGTCCGTCCGGTAGGGGGCCCTGTACCAGCTGCCTCGGCCGGACCAGGTGACCGAGGCCAGGACGGAGCGCTTCACCGCGGAGGTGGTGCCCGTCGATGTCACTGGACGCGGCTTCCAGCGGCTCATCAAGTTCCGACAGTCGCTGGTGCATGTAAGTGAGGCGCCGCCTGCGGTCGTGGGTCCGGGGAACGGCAGTGATGATGTGTTCGGTTATTTGCAGGCGCGTGTAATGGTGGAGGGATATTTTGTTCTCCCCCGGTGTTTCTTTTCGGCTAAATCAACGTATGTCGATGAAAATGGAATTGCTAAGCTCATAATTTCACGAGCGTGGTCATCAGCGCCATGGTAAGTTTTCCTACTGTATCTGTCGTCAGCCTCCCCGCAGTGATGCCTTTTTCTGACTGACTCTGAGCTAAGCTGGCAATGGGCCGTGTCAAGGTTCAGCGTCAGGAAATGTTGAAGCGAGCGCCTTGGGATCAACTGACCGCTGGACTGTTTCGGGTGTGTACTGCTTTCGTTGTACCCTTGTTTATGCTCACTCCCATTTGGGCTATGGCAGTGCCCCTATGATTGGTCTTGCCAGGCGATCTTGGAAAGGAAGTATGCCGGAAATAGTCGCCGATCAACATGAGTCACAGCTGTTATTTATATTATACCGACTCAGTTCACATGCACATTGTGCTGCGGTCGAGTTGTAGCGCAGGACAACGCAACCGGATGTCATCCGCCTGTACAAACACACTCACTCACCCACGCGGCGGTCAGGGTCTCCCCCCCCCCGCCCCACCCCGCCCCTATCTGGTGACGCCCATGAGCTCACTGCCCGTCACCTTCAGCGTCGTTCTGACCGCCGGCTGGCTCCTGTTTCAAGCCTACCCTGGCGCCGCTGCCGGCGGTACCTGCAGGTCAGGTGGCGGCGTCGGCCTCGGTCGTCCCACAGCACGCGGGGGCCGGCGGCGGGTGCACGCGGCGGGTGAGGGTGCGGGTGGTGTGGGTCTCGGGCGACTGTGCGGGTTGCCGCCCCGCCCGCCGCCGGGACTGAGCGGTGCGCGCCGGACGTTGGCTCATCCAGGGGGCGTCCGGCGTTGCAGTTCGACTACGTGAAGCGGCGACGGAAACGACGCGACCGAAACCGACGCAACACGATCGGCGACACGAGCGACATCCAGGAGGCGGTGCTGAGGGCCGACCTGCCCAGGTCAGTACACTGATGCACTGATGGGCTGACCTGCATGCACTGATGGTGTGACCAGGGTAGGGGCGTCGGCCCGAACTGGCCAGCTGTCTTCGGTTTGATTCGTCTTCTAAACAGTACTGACCGGGACGGATCGGGAGGCACCGCTCGCCCGCCAGTGGTAGCGCCCCTCCGACACGCGCCCCTGACACGTCCCTGCCGAACGTGTCAGGGGCGCTCCAGACAGCGCCCCTCCCGTAGCGTGGTGCCTCAACGCTGACCACGTGCGCCGGTGCTGCTGCCGCCGCCGCGGTTCACGTCGACACGGCGTGACCGGCGCGTGCTGCTGCACCGGCACGCCGTCTCACGGCGGCCGGCGGTCGGCGGCCGCCGCGTGCGCTGTCTGAGATTCGTGGCGAGTGGCCGCCGTCCGGTGACGGGGCTGGACGTGCCGTGCCCTCTGCTGGGTGTGGTCACGGCTGCTGCCCCCCCCCCCCCCCTCCCGTGTCCCAGACGTCGGCGGGGATTGAAGGTCCTGTCGGTCGTCCGTGTTGTGTGCCCTTTTCCGGTCTTTGTGTCGGTTTGAGCAGTCACGGAAGGTGTGCTGTGTCCCGATCAGTGCGCTGCTCCGCCTGCCTTCCCGTCTGCCGCTCTCTGTTCTCCTCTGTTCTGCTCTGTTCGTGCTGCGTGTTGTCTGGCGTGCTGTCCTGTATACCGTGGTATCCCATGCCAGCCGCCCGCGCATCGACGGAGCCGCTCCTGCTCGCCACGTGGACTCCACG